GTGATCTACATATATCTATATGAACAAGTTATATTTTTCTATGGCCCTCTGGCCAGTTGTTCTTTTTTTGGGTTAGAATCAATAATGTTTCCCTATAACTTCATTACACACAATAGATGAAGTCATGAAATGTGGTATCCCATACACCATTTTCATGAACTAGACTTTCCTTAATCCTTTGATTCAATTCAATAAGAGGGGTGGTTTCTTTAACCTCTTCTTCCTGTTATTGTCTCAAGATTATGGTATCAAATCAAGATGAAGAAACCTAATAAGCAAAGATTGTTCGGGTCATTATTCATGGATCCACTAAATATAGGTTGATTAGGCATGACAATTGTTAGTTTATCCCCATAAGTCTATCATCTAATCGTTGTACGTTCATATATTGAGTCGTGACTTTTATTTATAAAAGGCACTGTCCACTTATATGATCTGTGTTCCTAATTAAGAATGATAATAACTTTAAAATGATGTTACTCTAAACGTCTATGGTCAAGTATACTTTAGGATTAAGTTAAGGTAATACATCATTGACTAGTATGCGTCGGTACTCATGTGGAGATATGTAATCCATATATGGCTACAAGATAGGGATCTTGTGTACCAAATAGGACTCATTTTGAGAACATTGTATTGGATGTCATATGAGTACCATCAGTGTTTCTCAGTTAATCATTGTACATGTAGTCCTTTTACATGAGATCATGGATATTGCTTTATGTATGAGTTACATGATTTGATACTACTTCTAATTGGATGACAAAATGATTGTTGTATATAACATGTATCACTTTCTAGTGCTAGCATGGATCAAGAGAAGATTTGTCCCTCATGTATGATGAGAGTGATGTCTTTAGCCCCTTGATTGAATGGTAATGAGGAGACGCATGCATGCTCAGATAATCCGTATATTATATTGATATATGTCTTGTACCGAGGAACCTGAATTTTATTACTCAATTTTTGTTGGGATTCTCTAGTTTTTGTCGCATAAATATATTTGGAATTTATGCTAAAACACATCATGAATTTGAGTGAGAAATAAACATTGGTAAGGATTACTCATGTGGCTCATAGAGTTATAGAATCACAAAGTGATTTCGGTTTGTAATCCTTTCGTATTTTGTTTCTCTGTTTGGATCATTTATGTATCCTACTTTTGGTTGTCAACATACACTCGCTCTGATGGTGGAACCACGTTATATTCATGAGTATTTACTTGAGCTTTCCTTAATCGTTTATTACATCTTTGTTTGTTTCTCATTAGTTCAGTCAATTTATTTTGCATTCTTCGTTAGTAAGGTCACACATTCATCTTGTGTTTGTTTAAAACTTTGTAACTTTATCATTCGAAACTTTGGATGTGACCCAAACCCCATCATTGACTAGTTTCTCATCTTCAGTTTGTAAGAATGTAGAATGCCATATAATACGCAAAATCACTCGAATTTTTTATTCCACAAATGAACACTATCTTTTGATATATTCTACGTGAGACAATATCCAATCTAATCCCTTATTCTTGATCCACATCGATATAATAATAAGCTTGAGACCTTTAATAACCTTTCATATGCTTGGGGCTTATAATATGCTTTCCAATTCCAACTTACTCTCCTAATTAAGTAACCAACAAATGTCTTGTTATCTTCCAGTTCTACCGCTTTTGGGAGAACTTCGTATATCTTTTGTGTATCATATCGTGTGACAGTTTATCTTCAATTCTATGGTGCACGGTCCCATTCTTGGTTCTCGAATATGTGCATATTGAGATGAAGTTTTTTTGGAAAGGCAAGACGAACACATTGACCATAGAGCCATATTTGAAATGCAGAAGATGATGGTGGCATCAACAACAAGAGAAATGGAAGAAGTAAGGTCAAAGAAGGTCCTTTAAATACCTAGCAGTAGATGGTCGGCCACTAGAAGAAGAAATTCAAATTTTGAAAGAGTTCAAGAACCTAGATGAGAACATTTTAAGCATGACAAGTGCTTGGCAACTATATTAAAATTAAAATTAAGTGTCCCTTTGTTAGGGCATATTTGCTCACTTAGTTTCTTTTGAGCTTCTTCATATTATGATTACCAATCAACTTTCCATTATGCTTAATAAAGGTCTGTCTGGTTTTGGTTTTAGTTTTCCTCCTTATGTTCCAAATAGACCAAGCTACAATTTCTGGTTTTGCTTAGGAGATGTCGATTGAAGTGCCACATGGTTGGCATACACTTATAAATATATGCTGGAAGAAGTTATGTACTTAGTGAACCCAACACATCTATACAATGCAACATGCATTCTCCAACTTAAAGATACTTTGGATACCCATATGATGTGCTACCTTTTCCGTTTGTTGGTGATAATAGTGTTATCAATCATCTTAGTGCAATTGAGATTTACATGAGAGAAAAGGAAATTGGGTTAAGCTGTAATATGAGTTAGGTAGTGTGGATATCACACTTGTATAAGCTAACTTGAACCAGATATTGCAGTATAATAGGGTCAAGGGGTCACACCCCTTGTGCCCCATTGTGCTTTATTATAGAGGCACTAATCAGTGTGTGCTTTCAGTCGTGGCACTATCATGTGTGCCTTCATTGACACTAATATGTATGATCAGTGTGTACTTTCCGTGGTGCTGATTAGTATGATTAGTGTGTGTCTTAAGTGGTATGATCAGTAGGGTAAGTGAATTCCCTCACTGACACTTATCTAGTGTAACCGTTCTTATTCGTGTTGGTTATTTGGTAACTGTTTTAGCACCAAAATAACTTCCTTCCTACCAAAAATAATTGTCGATTGACTTCTAATTTAGAGGATCTGATCTCAATATTACTATAAATTTCATAAATGAAGTAGTTAATGGTGGGGTTACCATTATCCTTTTTGTAGGGACGAATCATGTATGTGTTCCTAAGAAAAGGAATTTGTCCATTTTTCGGGGTCTCAAAGGAGCGTGGAAACACATAAGAACTCCTTAATGGAAATGGAAAAGAGATGGAACTCCAGTTCCTGTAAGATCTTTGACGCAAAAAAAAGTGGTTGATCCTAAGAGCATACAAGCTAGAGTGTAAGTTAGATTTTCTCTAAGTAAATTTCATGAAAATCAAGGCTATAATATGATCGAAATATTACTTATTGAAAGTATTTTGTACAAGATCCAAGATTCTATTCAAATTAATATATTTCAATTGACATATCCACCAAACCCAGATTTCTAATACCTTCTTCTAGGATATTTATTATTCTCTCCCAAATTTTATGGGATTGTAATAAATTCAGTCGCATTTATTTCATGATTTCCTTTTGGTCAATTTAAACTTCCCACTAATTAAACTTAATGCAAGTATTTAATTTAATAGAAAATGATTATGCACATTATATCTACTCATATATATGGTAAGATTCTCTTTTGCTAAAAAGGGGGAAACGGCGAGTTCGATATTTAGTTTAATTAGTAGTCCTCGTACATTTACTTTTTCTTCTTTTTGTCTAATATGATACACGAACATCCATCCTAATTAAGTTATACTTTCGTACTATATATTGACATATAGTGAAATCCAGCAAAATCTCAATTCTCCATGAAGGATTTCATTATATACCATTTAACATTTTCCCCATTCATTAGATTGTCTACTTGTGTCTACAAGAAATCTTTCACAAATGGGCAGAATTAACTTGAATCCACCATAGAAGGAAACTAATTCAAGAGAAGCTCAACGAAATAACGCACGACGCTCGAGAATTTCCACCTGATACAGTTACTCGATGACGGGGATAGAAGAAGGTGAGAAAACTGAGAAGTGAGTGAGAGAGAGAGAGAGAGAGAGAGAGAGAGAGAACTAGATGGTAAATGTTAAATTCTAATGAAGAGTGCTTCATTCTGAGTAAAGGCTCTCAAAAGTTCCATGCATTCTGCTTTATCTTGTTTTCTTCCCAGATAGTGCATGTGTGTACATATATATCAGGTACCTGAACTACAATGACCTCTCCACGTTCTACCATCCTCAATGTTACCCTAACATTTACGAAATCTTAAGTATACACTGCAGAATGACTCGTTAATATGTTTAATAACTAACTTGTACTGAAGTAGCACTGTTAACGATCTGAGAATGTAGATAACAGACACTTCCATACGCAAAACTACATACTAATTGAACACAGACTGATGCAAGTAGTAGTCCCATAAAGCAACCAAGCTAGATGATTGTGGGATCTTTTAGTAAGTATTTTACAATATGCTAAACACAAAGACTACACTTAAACACGCAATACCAATAACAAAATACAATTATCACTTGAGAGGAGTGTTACTATAATCCAAAATAGGCATAAAATGACAGCATTGCCATACGTATAGTTTTGGACGAGCACTCATATGATATATAGTCTGCCACTTTAATTAATATTTCATTCTTAAGAGGACATGGCGTTTGTTCTCTTATTTTGTTTTATAATCCTTCTTTTGGTTTTGTTTCAAGCTGGAGGGAAGATTCTTATGTTTAAAATTCATTTATATTGCAAACAATCAGATAAGTCCTATAATCTAAGTCCATTGTAAGGAGGGGATTGATTAGCATGGTCATCCATAGGGGGCACAAAATCGTAGCGAATCCAAAAAGGGCCAAAAACAAATATAAAGTGGACATTTGAACCAGAAATATTAATTTAAACACCATTCGCTAAACAGTGTTTTGCATGATATGAGAGAGAGAGAGAGAGAGAGACTGAGACTGTTGTCCAACTTGATCATCTACATGGTCTATTTTTTGGGGGGTTTATAAGTTTCTTTAACGATTTCAAGAGATGCCTATATATGTTTTCAGAAATATAGAGCTTAAACACGAAAATTAGGGTTTTATGTTCAAGGGTTTTAGGGTTCTCCATATGAAGTTTGAAGTCACTAGTCAACTAATTTGAATGAAACTTTATTTAAAACAAGAAAGTAGCTAGAAAATATGTATGATATATGTATGACTATAAATATAATTACCATTTTGCGTGGAGAAAACCGAATTGGAGCAATTTTCAAGTAGCCTGCAGCTTGGCAGCCTTCACTTCTTCATTGGCCTTGATTTGATTCTTCCTCTTCTTCTTCTTCTTGTATGGGATCCCCCTGGCCTTAGCTTGGCACTCCTTCACTTCTCGTAAATAAACCCGAATTGCTCCATTTCCAAATGGGTTTTTCTCGGGAGAGCCGCCGTTCTCTTCATAGGCGGCTCTTAATCGCCCAATTAGCGCATCTAGACTTCCCCAAGCTTGCCTAAGAGGACAAGTGCAAGGGGCTGGTGGATCAGGCTGCCCAAAAAAAACACACCCATGTAAATGAACCTTTGTTTTTCCAAATTGATCAAGGTATCGGAGGAATTCCAGAACGTGATTGAAGTTGCACTGCGAGAGAGAAACCGGAGGCCTTTGATTCTTTAGGTACTGCCCAAAAGTGTTCCAGTCACGTCGTTTTTGCGATTCGTAACGGCTCAAAGGTGCAGGATGAAGGCTTTGATCACCGCTCGCAGGTCGCGAGGACCCTTCAGACGGATCTTTCGGTATGTTACTTGACATGAAGCTGCGTTTTCGGGAGACAAATCTTGTGTGTTTTTGGGAAAATATGGATGATCCAAGGTGAAAAATAGTAAAATTAAAAGGTAAGGGTAGAGAAGAATGGAGAAAAAAAAAAGATGAAGGTCACATATTGAGTCTACTACTGAGGAGACATATCATGGGTCCCTTCAGAGAAGCTTTTTTCCCTCGATCAATTTCTATTCAATTTCTTCCTGGGGGCAATATAAGCACTCACGATTACTTTAATTTTAATTTTAATCTTTCAATATAATATTTAGGGTTAAATGCATGAAATAGCAACTTACTTTCATAAAATTTCTTATTATAGCATTCTACTTTTGTTTTTCTTTATTATAGCAATGTACTTTCAAATTATTTTTTATTAAGGCATTGTACTTTAAAAAATCTACCCATAATAGCAATGGGTAACCTGTTACCTTTTAAACCGGTTAACCCTTTGACTTTTTTGCTTGTGTGACTTTAATGAGGTGATGTGGATGCCACATCATTTTGATGACTTAACTAAAATAAAAATAAAAATATATTTCAAATTATTATTAATGATTTTCATTTTTCATTGCTATGATCTAAAAAAACATTTAATTGTTTTTACTTTTTTTTATTAAGTTGCATTCAAATTAAATATTCTTAGAGCAAAATATTTATTAAATAAATATGAAACATTATTTTCGAGATATATTTTTTTTGTAAAAAAAGTAACTTTTTCTTATTTTATGTTGTTCAAATAAATACATATCTTTTAAAGTTCTCTTTAAAATATTAACGAAATAAATTGTTATCTACAATATTTTAATATTGTTATATTAATAAATAATTCAAAAAAGTCTAATTAATTTAATATATTTATACGTCAAGTAAAATTTTTTTGAACAAATATAATATATTCTTTAAAAGATAATATTTTTTGGTAAAAGAGAACAATTCTTATTTTCCTTTTTTTCAAAAAACACATATTTTTTTAAAAATGTTAGCGATATAAGTTGTGTTCTACTAGTTTTATTGATATTGGTATATTAATGAATAATTTAAATTTTTTTAATTCATTTAATACATTTATTAAATAACATGTAAAATATCTAAATATTAAAATTAAAAATGTAGTGTTTATTAAGAACTAGTAGATGCTATAATAAAATAATTTTGAAAGTACAATGATGTAGTAAGAAAGTCATATCACTATAGTACATGTGGACAGCCTACATGGACAATGAGGTGGCATGAAAACCTAGTATAATGGGTAAATTTAAATCAAAAGGTTACCCATTGCTATAATGGGTAAATTTTTCAAAGTACAATGTCCTAATAAAAAATAGTTTGAAAGTACATTGTTGTAATAAGAAAAACTAAAAGTACAATGCTATAATAAATAAATTTATGAAAGTAGATTGCTATTTTGTGCATTTTGCCCTAATATTTATAAGTAGGGTATGCACAATTATTATGATATTCATATGCATCATATATATATATATATATATATATATATATATATATATATATATATATATACATATGGTATCTCCGTGATTCAATAGTCAGTGGGTGAAAGATCTTTAATATGGAGGTAATTTCTACAGTTATGAGATATATAAAATCTTAATACAATATGCTTTTCTTTGCTGAGACTCAAGATCATCCAACGTCATAAGTATTTGCTACAAAATCATCATGTCTACATATAAAAAGACACGAGTGGGGTTAAAATTTTGATATCGATTCACAAATGAATAATTTTTTTTTTTTTTTGCATAAATTAATTGACAAGAAGTTCTTCTGAGTAGGTTGTTGGCATAGAAAACTAGATGATAGGCTAATATATTTGAATATTTGCAATGATATACGAAAGGGAATCTTGAGAGAGATGGAGAGGCTGCTAATTAACAATTATTATAATAATAGTCGTAAACATATCATGTTTCGTATGAATTACGTCAACACAAAACTTTGTATTACTGGCCGATGTGCCAATTTTTTGGTTGAATTTTCGTTGTACAAAATGTTGAAAATCTGTATTCTGCAAAAGTTACTGTACATGTCTTTGAAGGATTTTTTTTGCCCTTCAACAAATTCTCAGTGAATATGATTGCATTCAAGATACCACCAAATAGGAAGCAAAATAATGATATTAGCCATCGAATAATTTTTGTTATCTTCCGAAAATGACAAACTGATATAAGGGTTGGCTTTAAATTCCTGTAAATATTAATAATTATGATATGAACAGTTGATTTGAAACATCGTAGATGAGTTTAAGATAGTTTTATTCACGTTTGAGCAAGATTTTGCATTTAAACTTGACGAGAGTTTGATGTGCATCTAGTGACTAAGTGAAGAATATGTACTCTACGTCTCCGTTTTAGATTTTTTAATACCATATGGTACATCGAATACTTCCGATAAAATTCCAAAAAAGTTTAGTTTCACTCTATTTAATTTCATCACATGATTTATGCATCCTACGCTAAGCTCTAACCAGATTCTAGTACTTTTCTTACTGTTTTGCTTTAATTGGACATAGATTAATAGGCCTATAGTGTTTGAACATAGAATTGAAAGGACATGAATTCTGCTATATATTCCCGCTCAATATCTTCATGGATTATTATTTGCACCCTTTTTAATGTTGAAATCGAGTCAATTCATGCATTGTGAAAGTAAAAGGTGAGTTTTTGATGTTGATGTGTGTGAGAAGGAAAGTATTAGGTAGGTGTGCATTTTGCAATGTATATATAGGGGTGCAATTAGTCTCCCCTATCTTCATTTCAACTTTAAATGAGCAGTTAGGCAATTTTTGGTACGCAGACATAATTGGATTGGACTAGACTGGACATGACATAATTGTACAGGACATTATTGAACAAGACAATAGTGGACAGAACAAGTTGTCTGTCTGATATTTGGTATGACTAGAGACAGTGAGTTTTGTCATGTCATGTCAAATGTATCAAACGCAACCTTGAAGTGATGTTTTATTATTAAAAACTTATGGAAGTTAATTGGGCTTGAAAATAAAACATTGTTAAAATATAATAGGAAACCAACATGAGTAGATATCCATGATTTTCATCAATGATATTTATAAAGATACGTGGAACCTTTATATTATTTTCTGAAAGAGTCCTTGAGTAGGGAAGGGAAACTATATATGTAGATGGGCACAAATTGTCGCATGGTTTCGATAGAGGACTAGACGAGCAAACTTCATAATGTCAAGTAGCTAGAGTTGTAGACTTTGCTCTGATACTATGTGAAAATCCGAATTACTCTCCAAAAAAGTTCTTGAAGAAAGAAAAAATGTTATAATATATATATAGAAGGGAATTGGTCCAAGTTTAGTTGATACGAGACTTTAAACATGTGTGCGTTTAAACTATCAAATGAGAAAGGAAAATACGTTAAACTAATCCACTTTTAATCATAATAGAAAGAAAAACTCAATTTTGGTTGTAGCTAGTAGATATAACAACAGTTACCTTATCATCTTAAAAAAAAACTATTTAAACCATGAAATTGTAATGAGTCAAACCAAACCAAAGTTGATTCCATCATTTTAGAAAAGTAAGAAACTAGAGAAGAGGGTTAATTTGGTTTATTGTTTTTTATTGAAACAAAGTTGATTGATTTATTTATCTTATAAAAATCAAATAGAAACAGTTTTATTTTGTAATCTCGATCAAACCCAAACCAAATCCGATCGTTTAATCCTACTTTACTCAATTCTTTTGTTTGATTCGAAGAGATTTGGTGGGGCCTTAAAGATTACATGGGTATTTATAAAATTTAACATAATTAATTACAATATAATTAAATATCTTTAATTAAATAAACCCCTTAATAATTGAGTGATTGTGCCTCTCTTTCGTCCTTGACCTCCATTAGTGTTTTATGGAAAGATGAAATCAATCTAGTACTAGACCTCTAATGATTTATCATCAATTTAATATGTGATGCAAATCCAACAAAAATTATGCTTACATCAATAAAATAATGCTTGACATGTGGGAGGTGCTTAATTAGGCTTTGTGGGGGTGGTAGGTTTATAGAGTCAAACAGTAATTAATTAGTATTAAAAACGAATTAATGTTTTGATTAATTTTATATGATGAATTGATGACGATGATTCTCTTATAATGATAAAAGGTTAGAAAAATATATCTGAAGTCTGTCAAAAGTAAGACATTTTCAAAGAGGGCAGAAAGAAGATAGAATTATTTGATAAATGTTAATGAAAGGTGGACCCACCCCACGAGTATATGTCTCTTACATGAATATTGCAATTGCCTTCATAATGTTGTATGCAATGTATGATGGGATTTTGAGTATATTTAGTGCCCATTTTTCCATAGGAGTTGGTGTTTAGGTTTTATTCCTCCAATCTAATTCTTTTAATTTTTCAACAAGTTGCTTTCACAATTCACGTTCGTACTGTATCAAACGACTTTTTAGTTTTTGTTGTTTAATATAATACTTGCACTCTTATTATGTTCGTCCTAAAACACTTGTCTTATTTTTGACAGTTGTGTGATCACAATTATTTTTCCTGTTAAATCGGCCTAGCGGACCAATCTTGGGTCCGAAAATAGAGGCTATCCCGCTTCGGATTCACGTAATTATGTACATGAGCAAGATAACTGGTCAGAAGTGATAGTATTTCATTTTTGTCCGGTGGTTCCACTTATTTACTACACGTTTAAAGTTATTTCCCTGAGTATGGCAAGAGTTAACCCAATATGACTAAGTTTCCGAGTTGAGCTATTAATGATTAATTAATTTAAGAACGGGTTAAATGATGTGTTCTTTGACTTGTGATGTTGTGTGATAATATATATTTTAATTCCTATGTTTTTAGTTTAAGATATATCACATCGAAACACTTATGTATTCTTTATCTCTTTTTCGAGCCTTCTTTTCAAGTTAGCGTTATTAGTTTTCATGAATGTCATCTATTTAGTGAGAGATGATATAGAATATGTGTAGAAGATGACAAAATTGGGAAAGTTATAGAATAGTGTGGTTAAGAGATCACCGAAAAGGAATTTAAGTTGATCTTTTATAAGGTAAGATAATAGAATTAAGCTCTACAAAGAATATGTTATGGAAGATGGTTTTGCATATTCAAGTTGTTAGGAAAGTATCAAAATATATCTGAAATTGGTGTCACGAAAATTGTA